TACCACTACAGCTACTAGCGCCCAGCGCTGAAGACTACTGCTAGCGCTAAAGCTACTCCTGCAGCGCTCCTCCAGAGTGCTGCTGCCGAATCCTGAAGACTACTGACTGCCTTCTGCCTGCCCGTGAAGTGCATGGGAACTCCCTATGAACTACCTCGGCCTGCCTCCTGACTGCCTCCGACTGCCTGCAGTTGCAGGGCGGGGCAGTCCAGGAGGCTGCTCTTGCCAATGCCAAAATGAGCCAGGGTCTAGCGCTGCAGCTCCTGCTGAGCCTGTCGTGGGAACAGGCCAAAAATAGCCTGTTCCTAAAACCCTGGTTCGGTGCCTGAGTTTCAGGCCCGGTCGGTCTGATGAAGGACCGAAAATTGCCCTTCGTTTCAGGCTAAAAAGGCTACTGCCATTTTCAGTCTGAAACGACACAGGGTCTGTAGGCCCCTGTTTTTCAGGCTTTCGAGCTGAACAGACAYGGGGCCTGTAGGCCCTGGTTTTCAGGCTTTCAGCCTGAGGGACGCAGGGCCTGGAAAATGGCCCTCGTGTGCAGGCGCAGCATGTAACACTCCTCTTATATCGCTCGACTGAGCGTGTATCAGTTGGTATCGGAGCCGCGCTCAGTGAATCAGGACGAAACCTGACCTGACGCGCGAATAGGGGATTGATTGATCGTTTATTAGAATAATCTAATTTATATCTGTTTGCGATTTTCTGCCTAAATTCCGAATTTGATCTTCGGAATTCTCTCATTGCGCTTATTCACTTTTTTTGTAAATTTCGAATCACACGTTAATTGGTAGCTGAAATTTCGATTTTCTTTAATTTTTTGTAATTCAAATTTTTCGCTGCTTTGATATTCCGAAATTTTCTTTTTTGGGGTAAATCTCTCTTCGCAGTTGTGTTTTGCGGATCTCACGTCTCAAAATCGGAAATTGTTGCATTTACTCTCATCTGGAATATTCCAAATTTTTTATTTTTTTCTTAAATTCGGAATTTTCCCGAACTTGCAAAAAAAATAAAAAATTTGCAGTTCGATTGTTTATCTTTTTCGTTACATCTGCAGTCTGAAGTCCGAAATATTATTATTTATTTATTTAGTTATTTCAACTTTTGGGACTTTGGGGATTGGGAGACCTACCGAACGTGCGATTTCGATTTTTTTTCCCCGAGAAGCACAGTTCAAACTTTTCTAAATTTTGATTAGTGGCTCCTTATCTGGACGATCAATGTGACCCCATGGGGGTAGGGAAGTGCTACCTTCTTCACCCGAATACAACATACAGTGATTATAGCTGTATTTGGGGTATCTTTCCGTCTAAATACAGCAATAATGACCGTATGTTGTATTCAGGGGAAGAAGGTAGCCTTATCACTCTCTCTCCTCCCACCCACCCCATCTACGCTGGCCCATTCTCTTCTCCCCTCCTTCCCCATCTGCCTTTTCTTCTCCACAGCTGTGGCATTGGTGAGTCGCCACGTCAGCACAGTGCCATGTCAGCAGGCCACGTCAGCAGTAACACGTCAGCTGACCACATCAGCAGGCCACAGCAGCAGTGCCACATCAGCAGGCAATTGGGGCCACGTCAGCAGCAGCTAGTGCCACGTCAGCCCCTGCCACCAGCTCCTGCAGCATATGCCAGCTGTCACCCGATCACAGACGGGCGACATGGAGCAGAAGCAAGGGGAAACTCAGGAGGCCTATGAGACCCGCGTGTTGGCCCAACTGGCCGAGTGGAAGAAGTGGGCAGATGCGGCCACGACCGCAACGAAAAAGAAGAAGGAGGCAGAAAAACAGCGTCGCCGCACTGAGCAACAGCAACAGGCGGATGCCGAAGCAACAAAGAAGCATGCAGATGAGAAATGACGAGAACGTCGAGATGCACTTTTTCGCGAGGAGGAGAACATAGAAGTCATCGCGGGCGAATGGGAAGCAGCTGCGGAAGGCAAGGAGGCCCCCAAGGCTGTGTGCGGCATTGCCAACACATATGCACATGTGACCGATCTGGTCTCAACATGCGCAGCCCAGCAGGAGGACATCCTTGGCCTAGATATGCTGCTCTAGCAGCTAGACACGCAGGTCATGCAGCAGGCTCGGACAATTGCCGACCTGCACGACTGCATGCATAGGCTGGAACAACAGCCTGCCCCAGCCGCCACTGCGGGACCCTCCAACTTGGGGGCCTGAATCAACATATTAGAGGTGGCCATGGGCGTCGTCAAGGACACGGCGAAGCAGCAACAAGCTACCAATCAGCTGTTGGAACAACAGATTCGTGCAGCAGCCGCAAGTCCAGCCTCGGCGCCTCCCGAACGCGTACCTAAGTTGGATGATATTTCCGTCTTCTGCGGCGCATCGAAGACCGATACACTTCCGTGGTGGAAGCAATTCCACTTGCATTTGGACATGTACAAGGTGAGCAACGCCAACCGGCATGCCTATCTGAATCACCGGCCAGGCGGCGGATGTCAAGCATGGCTTGACAACCTCTTGGCTACACACAAGGTGGTCATCTCCGAGCTGTACACGAAGATCAGCTGGAAAGACCTCACAGCAGCATGGCACACCCGGTTCCAAGTGGAACCGCCCAAGCTCCAAGCGATGGAGAAACTGCAGAAGTTTCACCAGAATTCTTTGTCGAGCACGGATTGGATCGCCGAGTACCAACGCCTGGCATCCACGCCCAACTTGCCGATCAACTTCACGGGCGTCAAACACTACTTCATTACAAGGTCGTGCCTGACATTGCAGAAGGAATTGGCGCAAGTCGTGGAAACACTCACCCCGACTCTTCAACAGGGCCTCGCAGATCATTGTGATGAACATTGACCCCCACAATGCTAGCCGTTCGTCTTCAGCAGGCCAAAGCAGAGATCCACATCGGCCGAAAGTGGTCGTGGTCACAACGACAACGCCGACCAATTCGAACAAGGCTGCTTCGTCAGACGAGGGAGATACGTTAGCAGCTGCCCGGGATAGTAGCCGCCCGACCACGGGTCGAGGACGCGACAAATTGAAGACAAACACCTCTTCATCCCCCGGGTCCAGAACAGCAGCTTAAGAACCTTGCATCCAATTTGGCATATCGGAGGGCGTCTACAAGATACGCACCGAGTACTGATACTGTTTGTGGTGCAACAGTGCTGCACAGGACACCGCGAATTGCCCCACGAAGGCCAAGGCAAAAT